TCCGAGGCGGGACGTCAGCCCCACGCCCGCCGCCTCGCCGCCTTCCCTCAGTCCCAGCCCTCCCTCCGCTCCTGTCGCGTCCCCGCCCGGCCCTGGATGCGAAGGCGAGGGGCGGCCGGAGAGAATCCGGACTGGGCTCTGAGCAGGTCTCGCCTTTCCCGCTGCCATCAGCGGAGCGCCTGCCCAGCCTGGGCTCGATTTTATTCTAATTTCAGATGGTTTATGGGGCGGTTGGCTTTTTTTGGTTTTTTGAGTTTGGGGTTTTTTTTTTGCTTTTTTTTTTTTTTTTTTCCCCAGATTTTGAAGCTCAGCAATGTCTTAAACGGATTACACGGAGGAGGGGTTGAAGCTGAAAACCTCATTCATCCTCACGGCGGTCCTATTCATTGCTGAAATAGGTGTAGCGTAGGAGCCGGTAAGATCCTCCCCCAGCCCCACTCGTATTTTGGGGATCTGTTCCAGCTTTCCTCCCTTGAATAGTGGGGATGGGAGGAGGGGGTCTGCTGCTCTTGAGCTGACAGAAGCATAATCATAAATCACCTACCTTGTTTGTCCTTCTGTCCTTTGGTCATAGAGGGGCTCCAGCCAACTGTGTGGTCTCACGTAGCGTTGCTCCCGCTGAATAGTTTCCAAGTTTGAGGTAAAAGAACAAATCGCACTTTTCAGGGACTTACTGAGACGCTCAGAAATAAAAAATAATTAAAAATGAAAATAATAAAAAAAATCGTGTAAGGCTATTCAGTCCTACTCATTTTCTCCCACGTGTTTTCACAATTATCGTGTATTTGTCTTTCTCTGCTTCAGTTTCTAGCTCAAAGTTGTGGGATTTTTTTTCCAAATAATAGTAATAATAATAATAATAAATAATAAAATAATAATAATAATAATAATTAAAAATGTTAGGAATAATAAATTAGGAGTTAGTTTCTCATGGTCGAAGCTGAAGATCTTATTTCAAACCCGGCTAGCCAGGAGCCTGGAGAAGTTGTAAGGCAGCGTCTGAAAGTTTGAGAGATCAGCATCAGATAAAGTCTCTTTGGTGATACCTTGCTGCCCGAGTAACTGTTTCAATGAGGTTTCTCAGCAGCAGCAGCAGCAAACGGGTAATATTTTCCAGACGTCTTTTTCTTTCCTGCTGCTGCTGCTGCTTTTCTGCCTCTTCCACGTTATGGGGTCTTTTAACAAGGGAGACTTGACTTGTTTTAATAGGCGGAGGATGGGAAGAAGGAGGGAACTCCTGTAAGGAGGAAAAAAAAAAAACCCAACCCTCCCAATTGCCATGATCTCAGCCAAGGACCAGTTCAGCGCCAGGAATTTAATTAGCCAAGTTGCAAATTTTTTCAGAGAAATACAATACACATATGTTGCCACCAACTGGTTTCCTCTTCATGTCCCGCAGTTGGGGGAACCCCCCACCTTCCCCACTCCCTGCATCCTTGGGCTCGGGCTGTGGGATTCGTCCCTCCCACAGCCACTATTCGGCTGGGACGGTTTTTGCTGCTGCTGGTTTTTATTAATAAGGGAATTGTGTCTATGAATGGATGAATTTAGCAATTTTCAATCCTGCTTTACCCGTTCACTCTCGGGAAGATTTGTTGTAGTAAATCCCCTAGAAAGCTCCCACTGATATTAATACCCATGCTTATTGTGTTTAAAACAATCCAGGAAACACGTTAGGCCATTTAAAAACTGGGAATTGCGGTGTGGGGTTTGTTTTGGTGTTTTGGATCGGTTTGGTTTTGGTTTGGGGGTGTTTTGTTGGGTTTTTTTTGTCTTGTTTCGTTATAAATCCGAAGTGTTAATTGTGTCGATGGTTCCCGGTTAGCCAGGAGCAGCTCGCAGCACACCCCATTGCCGCTTGCCGGCCGCGTTCAGCGGCTCCGCTCTGCCCCGCAGGCGGCTTTCCCCGCTCGGCCTGCCCGCTCCCGCTGCACGGCACCCGGAGCGGCTCTGGGTGGCGCTGTTGAGGCGGCGGAGCGGGCGGCGCGGCGGGGCTCGGGGCTGGAGCTGCAGCGGCCGCCGTGCCCTGGCGGGGACCCGCGGGGGAGGATGGCGGGGATCAGCTTCCCCTTCCCCCGTGCTGTTTGCTCAAGGACCGCAGAGGTCGCCGCTTTGGGGCGTCGAGCCCGCAAAGGGAGCCGTATCCAGACACCGTTGGGAAATCCGGAGATGACTCTTCGCCTACTTATCGCCCCTCGTTACCTTCTGCTGCGGAAAAGCTCCAGAGCGTTCTGGGGGCTTCTCGTGTGCAATAAATGGTTTAAAGCCGCTGGTTACCTAGGCTGGAGATTTTTTGAGTACCTACTTTGGGGAAGTGGTTGCAGTTACAGATGTGTTCAGTCGCTGCCACGGGGACAGTGGCTTTAGGATGCGCATTGAAGCCGAGCTCCTTGAATGATCAAGCTGTCTCAAATAACAAACCTGATGACAGTTTAAGCCAGAGTTTTGTGGGCAGTGTTAACCTGGCATTGCCAGGGAAACCAGCTGTTTCACCTTCCTCCTCACTGTCCCTTTTCCTATATCAGAAGAGCTGTCCTAGGTTAGAAATTAGTTGTTTGGTGAGAGGGAGCAGCAATAAAATAAGAAATAACTTGGGCTGGATGAAGGTGAAACAACTGGCAACAATCTGGTTTTTGATGGTTTAGAGTGTCCTTGAAAGTACTGCATGACTTAACAACCATAGAGTCTATCGGAGCTTTCAGGTATTCCTCCGTCTCAGATCTTCCTCTCATGGCAGCTCCATTACTGCAACCACCTCCTAATCTGTGTCCCAAAACCTTTAGGTACAGAGCCCTGCACACCTCTGTCATCAGGCAAGGGACATACAGCACTGTCTGCTGCAAACGGGCAGAGCGCAGAAGGGTGTCCAGAGGGCTACTTGATCCCCCTCTCCACAGGAGCCACCCCATTAAGCAAGTATCTGGTGTAAGCCAGGCTTATAACACGATCACTGAATCACAGAATATTTGGTGCTGGAATGGACCTTAAAGATGATCTAGTCCCAATCTACCCTACCACTAGACCAGGTTGCTCAGAGCCCCATCCATCCTGGCTTTGAGCACTGACATTGTGGGTTGTGGCATCCACAGTCTTCATGGGTAACCTGCACCAGTGCCTTACCACCGTCACCGTGAAAAATTTCTTCCTAATATGTAATGTAAATTTCACCTTTTTCAATTTGTACCCATTGCTTCTTGTCCTGTCGCTCCAGTTCCTGATGAATGATGAATATTTGTCATTTAGCCAAGCAAGAGGCTACCTCAGCAAGCTCTGCTACTGTTGTACACATAACCAAGTTCTTGTTGTCTGAGTCCTAAGGTGTGATTTCCTGGCATCAGACTTTCTCTGGCGCTGTCAGAGACAAGAGGATTAACACAGGTGTCCCTAGTCCATCCATCCATGGCTACTCTCAATACTGTGCCTTGGGGCACTGGTGCTACCAACTTCATTTGTGTTCCTTGGGTTCTTGATGGCCTTGTCTTGATTCAGGGATATTTATGTCCTGCACAGAGGACTTCACATCTAGGATAATTTCTGAAATGAGGTTTCAGGGGTAGGGTGGGTTTGTTTGGTTTGGCTAAGAACTAAAGGTTAGAGATTGATTTTTTCAAGTGAGCATTTGTTATATATGAAATAGCTTTTTTTTGTTTATTTGTCTATTTGTTTTTTGTATTCAACCTTGTAATAGTTGCATTTGAAGACTGCATGTCTCCTCTACTCATGAATGTGCATTACTCTGGAAATACACAGTATCCTATTGGCTTAATCCCATGCTCCTTAGGTTTGAACAGGGATCAAGAGACAGTAGATCAGAAGCACAAATTTTTGTGCAGCAATAGCAGCACTTAAATCACACCAAAACTTTGCTTTAGAAAATGACATAATGGGAAATGGTGAGTTTCTCATGTCTATAGCTATTTCCTTCTCAGCCATAGCTCATGTTGTGTGATCACACTGTCAGAGCAAGTGGGATAACGTAGGTCGGGAAGTTAGGTTTGCCTACCAGGAAGGAATTAAAAGTAGGAGGATATGATTAATGCCAATCCACATAGTGCTATAGAAACCAGATGTAGATGTGTTTCATTAGAAGTATATCACATCTACATTTATATGTTATGTTATGTCTACATGGTTACCATTATCAAACAATCCTGTCTCCTAATTGTGATTTATAGTCACAAGTAGTGAGGAAAAGGGAGTTCTTGGCCATCACTGTCCATGGGCATAGATTGTCACCCGGAGAATAATCTTAATGAGCTAATCTGACTTAATCTTCTAATGAGGCAATGGGTTTGTTTGGGACAGATCAGACAAAATATATTTTTGGGGGAGGTTAGCATAGGCTATGGTTAAATAAATTGGTTGCTGCAGAGTAAGTTAGTGGATGAAATGATGGCATGTAAGCCACTCTTCAGCAACTATTGAGTACTCAGTTTTACCCTGAGGGAATGGCTCTGTGTGCATTTTTCCTCTCCTTTCCTGTCACCCTTAAATATGTGAATACTCACCCCCAGCATACACACATGCTTGAGCCGGCAGAGGCTGCAGTTCTTCACTGATCCCTTCAGTGACCTGTGCTGAAGGCAACTGCAGAGCACCATGGCCATTTCCTGCGTGCATGCGTGAGCTGGCCGTGCAGGGCAAAGGGATCGGGGCTGCTCTTGTGGAAATGAGCAGCCAGTGCTAGCAGACAGCCCTAAACAGCCTCTTCAGGAGCTCTGCTGCCAGGAGAACAGGAGCAGATCTGGTCCCCCAGTGATGCTGAGGTGGCTGAGCCCGCTGGCGCTGAGGACTCTTATCTTGCGTTGTCTCTAAGGTAAGGATTTACATGCACCCTTTTATTGCAGATCAGCTATTGTCTAGAGCTTATCAAAAAGAAAAGCAAGAAGCAGACCCTTTGCAATGCATAGTTGTCTTCAAGTAAGAAAATGAGAGAAAATAAAGATCTTTGTCATGGAACAGTGAAAAGCTAGAGCTGGAAGGTAGATGTATTCATGCTAGACAGAAAGCACATTTAATAGCAAGCCTTCTTTAAACAGTTACCTGAATGATGAAGGAGAGGGGTGGATTCTTATGTTTTGAAACCCTCTGGATGCTATTTTGGAAGTTACATTTTAGTTCAGTGAAATTTATTTGGCCCAGTACAAGAATAACTGAATGGATTTCCATAACAGGCAGGTCAGACAAAGTGATCCAGCAGTTCCTTCTACCTCTAAACTCCATGGAGCTATCGACAACCAAGCTGATATGTCAGGTGTGTTCCACACCTATTTTCACATGTAGCAAATTCTGCTGGAAGTGAGAGAATTACAGAAAACCATATGGAGGTAAGTGAAAGCAGAAAATCATGCCCTAAATTATGATTTTATGGTAACTGAGAATCCACTTGAAGATTTTAATATAAATATCATGGGCAGTTTAAGGCATAGAAAGACTGAGTGCAGACAGACCTAACACTCTGTGGTTGTTTTCACCATATATAGAGCCATTTTAGTGGCTTTCAATGTTCTGGAAATTTAAATCTAAGGTTATTTATATGCAAAGATTTACAGGGTCCAGAGAAAACCATTGGTACTTAA